CACCCATTTTTATCATCAGCCAAGCCTCTCTCCAGCCTGACCCCTCTGATCACCGCAGCAAAGCAACTGAGGGAGCAGCGGAGGAGATGAAGCACTTGAGGACAGCTGTTAGTTACAGTAGATAGTGAGGACAACTAGTTAGTGATGGTAGTTAGCAGTGCTAGTTGGTTATGTTAGTTAGGACAGCCTATTTGTTACGGTTCTTATGACAGCCTGTTTGGCATGGCAGTTTTTTGAATAAAAACTCTGTTAAACCTCAACTCCCTTGGCGTGTCCCCTCCTCCTCCCTCTGTGACTCAGCTGCCCGGAGCAATGTGAGGGGAGAGCGGGCCCAGCCTCGCCCAGAGCTGAGCCCCAGCAGAGCCCTGGCAGAGCCCAGAGCAGCCGGGGCATCTGCAGAGTCAGCCTGGGAGGAGGCGCTCGGAGCCTTCTCGGCTGCACCGACTCTTGGGTACAAACTGCGTGTGCTGGAAAATGCCCCCGGCTCGGCCAGAGGGCAGAAGGGGCCCGGGGAAGGCCCCAGTGCTCCCTGCAAGGGAAACACCTGCCCTGGGTTTGTTATAAGGGACTATGTAGTTGTGGCTTTTGCTGTGATGTCTTGGCTTCTGCAACTTAATCACAACGATTTTGATACAGTACAGTTTGTAATCACTTTTAACTGCTTTTGCTGTAGTATAATTTGTCAGCTTTTTGTGACCAATGCCCTGGTCCCTGTGTAGCTCATATCCTCAGAATATCATTCATGGATGATAGTTTAGTTTGTGCACAGTGTGAAAAACATACTTGATAGTTTTGGGTTTTGCAAAATATTGAAGTGGATGCCATGTGTTGTGCATTAGAATGTTAACTTTTGCAGAAGAAGCTGTAGTTGTGAAATGGACTTGGGCAGGAGGAGCCTTTACTCCAAGGTGCTCCCACCTTGGTTTTCCCCAAACCAGGATTTGTCATTCCCTGGGCGTGTCTGGATGGAGGAGGAGGAAAAGCCCCGGAGATGCTGCAGGAGGAGGAGCTGCAAACCCAGCCCAGGGAGCTGCGGGGAGGAAAGAGCCCCCCTGAGCCAGGAAGGCGGGCGGAGATCCAGCCTGAGCTCGGAGCTGGTGGAGAAGCCTCATGGCAGGGAGAAGCCCCACAAGTGCTTGGAATGTGGGAAGGGTTTCAGCTGCAATTCCACCCGTATGGAACACCAGAACATCCACACTGGGGAGAGGCCCTACGAGTGTGGGGAGTGTGGGAAGAGCTTCAGTGGGAACTGCGACCTCACCAAGCACCACAGGATCCACACTGGGGAACGGCCCTATGGGTGCTTGGAATGTCAGAAGAGTTTCAGGTGGAATTCAGAGATCGTCACTCACCAGCACTTCCACACCAGGTGTGGAACACCTGTGGGTGTCCCGAGTGCAGGAAGGGCTTGGTGCGCTGCTCCAGCTCCATCCCCCATGGAAGGATCCGGGCTGGATGATGCCCAGTGACCCCCGTTGGGCAGGGCCCTGGTGTCCCCGCTCTGGGTGATCCCCATTGCGTGGGGGGAAGGTGTTGGAGGGATTTATTTCCCCTCTCCGTGTCCTGGTGTGATTGGTTGGTAATAAATTCCCTCCCTGTGCCCGGGCCGGGTCTGTTGTGCCCGTGCCGGATTTGCTGCGGGATCTCTCCCGCTCCTTGTCCCCCCCAGGACCCCTCGGTTCCATTTTCCGTCCCCGCGCGGCTGCTCCGGGCGCGGCGGAGCCTCGGCAGGCGGTGCCGCAGCGCCGGGAGCCGAGGAGAGCTCCGGGCCGGGGCTGCAGCGCAGCGCGGCCGCTCCGGGGCTGCCGCTCCCGGCCCGCGCTGCTCCGCGGAGCTCTCGGCTGAGCGGGGCCGGGAGGCGCTGGGACAGCGGCCAGAAGGGGGAAAAGGGGGCGCTGGGAGCCCGAAATTGCAGGGGGAGGAGGAGGGGACCCCGAAAGGCAGAGCGGGAGGGGCTGAGGATCGGGGGCAGGTGAGGAAGGGGCGGGAGAGGGTGGGATAGTGGAGAAAAGGGAGGGTAGGACCCCAAAACTGAGCGGGAGGGGGGGCTGGGCTTTGGAAAGTTGTGTTTAAAAGGTCGGGAAAGAGGAAAAGGAGTAAATGGGACCCCAGAACTCATCTGGGGAACGGCTGGGGGTGGCAGGTGAGAGGGTGTGGAAGGGGAAATGGGGAAAGCGTGGCAAAGAGGAAGTGGCAGCGTGGGCAGGAGGGATCCATGGCGGCCCTGGGGCACAGCGGGTGCACAGTGGGGATCCGGGGTGGATCCCGGAGCTCGGGGGTGCTGGGGGAGCACCCCCGGACCTGTGTCCTGCACACACAGGGCTGTTCTAGTAAATGGGAAAGTCCGAGTGTCACTTCGCGAACGGCACGGAGAAGGTGAGGTGCCTGAGGAGGTTCACCTACAATCGGGAGCAGTACGCGATGTTCGACAGCGACGTGGGGCACTTTTTAGGGTTCACCCCTTATGGGGAGACAGCAGCCAGGTACTGCAACAACGACCCACACGTTATGGAGCAGAGAAGGACTGCGGTGGACTGGTTCTGCCGGTACAACTACGAGTATCTCAGCCCGTTCCTCACGGAACGCCGATGTGAGCGTGGGGCAGAGCGTGTCCCCTCGGGCCCTGCCCTGGCAATGGCCCTGGAGCTCCTTAAAACCTCCCTGGGAATCGCCCCAGAGCCCTCAGCCCTCCTTGTGCCCATCCCCGAGACCTTCTGTCCCTGCCACTGCCCCCCGTGGCTCTCCCAGTCCATCCCAGTCTCTCCCAGTGCCTCCCGGCTGTCCATCTCAGCCTAGCGTGGCGCTGCCGCCTGTCAGCCAATCAGAGCGCGAGTCTGTGATGACTCATCAGTTGCCAGGCAGATCCGCAGCGCCGCGCGCCCCGCGCTGGACTCGGCCTCCCAGTGCCGCGCACTTTATTCCCAGTTCCTCCCAGTGCCGCGCACTTCATTCCCAGTTCCTCCCAGTGCCGCGCACTTCATTCCCAGTTCCTCCCGGTGCCGCGCACTTCATTCCCAGTTCCTCCCGGTGCCGCGCACTTCATTCCCAGTTCCTCCCGGTGCCGCGCACTTCATTCCCAGTTCCTCCCGGTGCCGCGCACTTCATTCCCAGTTCCTCCCGGTGCCGCGCACTTCATTCCCAGTTCCTCCCAGTGCCGCCCCAGTCCCTCCCACTCCTTCCCAGCCCATTCCCAGTTCCTCTCCGGTGCCCCCCATCTGCCAGTGCCCCCCATCCCCTCCCATCTTTCTGAGTGTCATCCCAGTCCTTCCCAGACCCTCCCAGTCCATTCCCAGTCTGCCCCAAGGCCACACCACCCCTCCCCTCTCTCTCCCAGTTCCCCACAGCTGATCCCAGTGTGTCCCCGCTCTCTCCCAATGCCCCCAGCGTGTCCATCTCGCTGGTGCCCTCGAGCTCCCAGCCCGGCCCCGGCCGCCTGCTCTGCTCCTTGGTGGATTTCTACCCTGCCCACGCCCAGCTGAGGTGGTTCCAGGGCCAGCAGGAGCTCTCTGTGGCTGCCACCGATGTGGTCCCCAGCGGGGACTGGACCCACCAGCTCCTGGTCCTGCTGGAAACCCCAACCCGGGGCGAGCTCACCTCCACCTGCCAGGTGGAGCACGTCAGCCTGGAGCACCCCCTGAGCCGGAACTGGGGTAGGGGGAAGGAATTCGGGGTACTGGGAGAGCCACTGGGAGGTGCTGGGACCAACTGGGAGGGAGTTGGAGAGAGCCTGGTTTCAACTGGGAGAGGAGGTTGGGGGTTTGGAAGGGCTAAGAAGGGGTTTGGAGGATACTGGGGAGGGTGTGATGGGGTTCTGGGGGTCCTGGTGGACACTGGGCAGGAGTTTGGGGGTACTGGGTGTGACTGGGAGGGATGTGAGTGAGCCTGGGGGGCTGGAAGGAGATTGGGGAGGGAAAAGCAGAGATTGGGATGAGGTTGATTGTGCTGGGAGGAGACTGGGAGGGGTCTGGGTGAATCCTGGTGGGGCTGGGAAGGGACTGGGAGAGGGTTTGGGGGTCCTGGGGCAGCAGGGGGCGACTGGAAGGGGGTTGTGGGATCCTGAGAGGGACAGGAGGGGCTTTGGTGGGTGCAGGGGAGGTGAGGAAGGGATAAAGAGGAAGGTTTCAGGGGATCCTGAGTGGGCTGGGAGCCACCAGGAGGGTGCTTGGAGGGGCTTGGGTGCCTGTGAGAGCTTTTGGGGGGTCCTGACCCCTGCGAACCCCTCAGAGATGCCGCCTGCAGCAAGATGCTGTCAGGCACTGAGGGTTTCGTGTTGGGCCTCGTCTTCCTGGCTCTGGGGCTCGGCTTCTACCTGTGCAAGGTCAGGGGGTTCCCAGGGGTCGTGTCCCCTCTCCCCCAGAGTCTGTGTGCTCCCCCCGGGGCCCCCAGCCCGGTGTCACCCCTGTTTCTCTGCCCACAGAGCTCCTGAGCCACCGGCGGCCGCAGAGCTTCCCCGTGGCCTCGGGCCCAGCCGGGATCCCCCGCTCCATCCCCACGCTGATTTTGGGGGGTCCTGTGTACCCCCAGCCCTGCTGTCACTCTGCCCCTGCCCGCCTGCTCCCAGTGTTCCCAGTAACGCTTCCCAGTTAAACCCAGCCCAGTTTATGGGGGCACTGGGGAGGGACTTGGGGGGACCCCACGGCGGGGCCGGCACTGGGCAGGGAGGGCGGGGTCCGGGTGGGGAACACTGCCTGCTGCGGGTCTGCCCGGCAACTGCTGAGTCATCAGCGCCGCTCTCTCTGATTGGCTGACTCGTGTCCACCGCATTCTCTCATTGGCTGAGGAGAGGCCCGGGAGTGCAGAGAAGGAACGGGAGAGATCCCGCCCCGAGCAGCGGCACGGGGACAACAGACCCAGCCCGGGCACAGGGAGGGAATTTATTACCAACCAAACCACGGCAGCACGAGGAGAAGGGAAAGAAATCCCTCCAACACCTTCCCCCCACCCAACGGGGATCACCCACAACAGGGTTATCCACCAGGGAGAGACGGGGACATCCGAGATTAGACCAAAGCCAATTTTATTGTGTGTACCAGGTTTTTATACAGGGATTTACTTGTAGGGTGCTTATATAGGGCTCTGTTTTTGGTACAATTTCCCATTGGTTACACATTCTTCATGACATGACATCACCTGGTAACATTATTTTATCACAAAGTCTCACACCACGTTGCTCGGTCACTTCTTGCCCAGGGAGACTTAAACTGTGTCTGTGTCTCCCACAGTTTCTGCTCAGTCAGGCCTCAGATATCGGGCCCCTTTATCAGCTCCATTGCTTTACTCTCTGTTTTATTCCCCATACGGGGGCACCAGGGCTCTGCCCAACGGGGGTCACTGGGGATCATCCAGCCCGGATCCTCCCATGGGGGATGGAGCTGGAGCAGCGCACCAAGCTCTTCCCTCACTCTCTTCCCTCACTCCAAGCTCTTCCCTCACTCTCTTCCCTCACTCCAAGCTCTTCCCTCACTCGGGGCACTCACAGGGCTTCCCTTAGTGGTGCCTCCGTTGGTGCTGGGTCAAGTTTGAGCTCCTGGAGAAGCTCTTCCCACACTCCCCACACTCGTAGGGCCTCTCCCCGGTGTGGATGCGCCGGTGCACGGTGAGGTGGGAGTTGCGGTTGAAGCCCTTCCCGCAGTCGGGGCAGCGGAAGGGCCTCTCCTCTGTGTGAATCCGCTCATGTACGAGGAGATCAGAGCTGGTCCGAAACCTCTTCCCACACTGGGGACACTCGTAGGGCCTCTCCCCGGTGTGGATGCGCTGGTGTGTTCTCAGGTCTGAGCTCCACCCAAAGCTCTTCCCACATTCCAAGCACTCATAGGGCCGTTCCCCAGTGTGGATCACCTGGTGCTCGATCAGGCCAGACTTGTCTCTGAAACCCTTCCCACACTTCCCACACTCATAGGGCCTCTCCCTGGTGTGGATGCGCCGGTGCACGGTGAGGTGGGAGTTTTGCTTGAAGCCCTCCCCGCAGTCGGGGCAGCGGAAGGGCCTCTCCTCTGTGTGACTCCGCTCATGTACGAGGAGATTGGAGCTGGTCCGAAACCTCTTCCCACACTCCCCACACTCGTAGGGCCTCTCCCCAGTGTGGATCCTCTGGTGCTCGATCAGGTGGGAGCTCCAGCTGAAACCCTTCCCACATTCCAAGCACTTGTGGGGCTTCTCCCTGCCATGAGGCTTCTCCACCAGCTCCGAGCTCCGGCTGGATCTCCGCCCGCCTTCCTGGCTCAGGGGGGCTCTTTCCTCCCCGCAGCTCCCTGGGCTGGGTTTGCAGCTCCTCCTCCTGCAGCATCTCCGGGGCTTTTCCTCCTCCTCCATCCAGCCACACCCAGGGAATGAAAAATCCTGGTTTGGGGAAAAAAACAAGAGGAGAGCACCTTGGACTGGAGGTTCCTCCTTGCTCCAGTTCATCTCAGGAAGTCATTGGGAATCTTGTGTCTGTAAGAACCTCCAAAACACCAAGATTTAGCCCAAAAATCCCACAAACTTCAAGATACAGATCAAAAACTCCCCAAACATCACAAGTCAGCAAAAACCTCCTCCAAAACATAAAGATTCAGCTGCCACATAAAACCAAAGCACCAACATTTAGCCCAAGAAAGCTCAGAAACACCAAGATTCACCCTGTGAAAATCCTGGATCCCCCTCCACAGTCACCTGCTGCATGTGGGGGGAGAAACGCTCCTGGGGCTGGAGGGAGGCTGCAGATACAGGGAGGGGTGGAACCTTCTGCTGCTTCCTCTTTCTGCTCCTCCTCCTCCTCCTGTGTCTCTCCTCTTCCTCACACTCCTCTTCCTCCTGCTATTCCTCCCCCTGCACAATCCCACCTTCTCCTGCCACCTGCATCGTTTGACCATTCTGTTCCTCAAGCCTGCTTCTCCTTCCCTTCTCCTCCTGCCCCCAGGCCCAGCACCCACTGCCGGCTCCCTCTTCCCCCCAGACCCACAGCATCCCAGCCGAGGGGCAGGGATGGAGCTGGGGCAGGTCGGGCTGGGGCAGCGCTGGGCTCTCGGCCGCTCCCGCCCGCACTCGGTCCCCACTGCAGCCGCTCCCGCCAGGACAGCGCGGGGGGGCCCGGCCTTGGCGCTGCCCCACTCCCACCTCCCCAAATTCCCCTCGCGGGGGCGATGGGGCCGAGGGGGGGGCGCAGGTGGGGTCCAGGTGGGGAACGCGGGGAGCTGCGAGTCTGCCTGGCAACTGGTGAGTCATCAGCGCCGCGGGCTCTGATTGGCTGAGCTCTGCCTGAGGGCTGCGCCTGCAGCAAAGAGGGGACACCCTGCTCCAGGGGGGATGTCCCACAAACGGGGGACCCCCATGAAAGGAACAAGAGCAAAGTGTCTTTACAAACAGATGCTCTGAATCTGCTCGGAGATAGGGTCAAGCAACTTTCATGTAAGTAAGTGACAGGAAAAGCCTTGGTTTCAGAAAATGTTATTAATTGATGACACAGACTGCTGCTCAGCCAAGGCCCTGCTCAGTTCATGAACTTCCAGAAGAACAACAAAGACTTAACAGAGCCATGAATATCATTTGCTATATAAAAGCAGGGAGCATATTAAGGGAGTATGTAGTAGGTGGATTGGGAAGTCTGTAGCTCTCAAGTACTTCAGCCAATGGGGAAAGCAGAGGGAGATGTGGCCAGGAGAATTAGGATGAAAAGGAGGCTGTGTCCTCCAACAATTGGAGAGATCCCATGGGGAATGTCCCATGGCCTCTCCCATTTTTAAGAATGAAATTCCATTTACAGGACTCCTCTGTCTGCTTTGTGGACAGAATCCTCTGGTGATGTCAATTTTCCCGCACACCCTGGGGCAGGGAGTGCAGCTGAAGGTGCCTCACCCACTTTGGGTGATCGGCTCCCTTGGCTGGCGGCGGCACCGGGGATTGATTGGGGACCCGGGAGTGACCAGGAGACAGACGAGTGACACATCAGGGGGGTCTGTGAAGAGTCAGCAGGGAGAGAGCACTGAAAATCTCATCAGTGAGTGCCCTGGGATCTTCGGGGAGTGAACATGGCAGGGCACCCATGGAGGGGAGAAAAGGGAAAGCCAGGGAGGGCTCCTGGCCAAAGGGAGGATGATCCCAAAATGTCTCTGAAGGGTCCCTTGGGAGAATGCTGAGGTAGTTTGCACATTCCCCCAGAGGTAATTAAGGACATGGACACCCAGGGGGGCAATAAGGGAAGGGGAGAAGGGATTTGGACAACAGGGGATGGATGGTGTTGGTGTGCTGGGAAGGGATCGGGTGAAGGGGAGTGTGCAGCAATATGGTTCAGGCAAGAAGCAGCAGGAGGAATGTGTGTGGTAAGAAAAAGGATGATGGCAAAGAGGAGGAAGAGAAAAATACTCAGGATTGGGATGTTTTTCAGCAGGGTCTTATCCTGACAATTTGCCAGCTGATACTTTGAATTCCCAGTTTCCAGGAGAGGAAAAGCAGGAGGTCAGGATGTCAGGGGTTTCTCTGTGGTGGGCAGCGGCAGCAGCGGGCGCAGAGGTGCGGGACCGGGAGCAGGGCTGGGGGCCTGTGGGGAGCTGCGGGGCCGGGCCGGGGCTGTGGGGCAGCCGGGGCTCAGCGCCGGGCGCTGCCTGACCCCACCAGCCCCGGGCAGGGCCGGCAGTGGCCCCCGGCCCCCAGGAGGCTGCGGGACGCCCCGGCCGCTGCCCGGCCCCGGGGAGCTGCCGGCCCTGCCCGCCGGGGGGGCCGCCTTTGGACACTGCGGCAGGACAGGCACCGGCTCTGCCACACGGGCTGTGCAGGGGACCCTGAGCACAAGGAGCAAAACAAAGCAACATCTGGGAAATGCAGAGTGCACATGGATGGATCAGGATTTTCTGTGAAGGATTTGGTTTGGGTCCCTGCAGAAAGGAAAGATTTTGCAGAAAGCTCAGCAGCTCTCAGAGGATGAGCACCCACAGGCAGTGACCGGGGCTGCAGGAGTGGCAGAAGAAGGCCCTGCAGCACTTGGGCACAAAGGCACAGCAGCTGAAGGCAAGGAGGGATGAGCAAAAGGCCAAGCTGAAGGCAAAGGCCATGGCAGAGTTCCCACAGCCCCTGAGGGACCAACCCCAGGGCCCAAGGGGGCCCCAGCACCCAGGGGACGGCCTCGGCCACAAGCACCTGGCAGAGGCATTGCCCTCCTGGCCAGGGCAGAGCCCACCCAAACAGCCCCTGGGAAGGAGTCAGGGCTCCAGCTGCAGCCCACAAGGACACTGCAAGCACAGACAGCAGCACCCTCAGGAGGAGCGAGTCCACCCCTGCATGGACATGGATTGTCAGGGCTCTCTGAGCTCCCATCCCACCGGGGACCCACCACACTGCAGCCCTGGAGAACATCCAGGCTGGGTCTGCATCCAGAGGAGGCCTCTCCTGATGGACACAGGGGCCTCTCCATCCACTCTGAATCTTACACCTAAGGGGGGAACATTGTAAAGGAATGTTTTCATTATTAAGGGAATAACTGGGAAAGCTGAGCTGGTGTCATTTGTTCAATTAGGAGCTGTGGGGGATAGGTTTGAAATAAACTAATTTCTTTCTCTTCCTACTGTGATTGTTATTAACTAGGAAGGAATTTGATGGTGGCATTGTAATATTGTAAAAGGTGATACAGAGGCTATTGCTGCTGTACCTTTGTGTCAAATGTCTGGCAAGGCCTATGCTGAAGGGAACCCAGAGGTGTGGGCAGCCCCAGAGGGAAAATTTGATGTGGATCCTCTCCAAATTACTTGGAAGCAACCAGGACAAGTGGGGGCTAAAAGCAACACCCTGTTCCAGGGGAGGGAAGGAAGGGCTCACAGCCTGGTATGGAGTCCCTGCTAAAGGCAGGGCTTTTGGAGCCAGGGATGTCTCCCTACAGCACTCCTATCCTGCCAGTCAGGGAATCTGATGGCTCCAATGAGGAGCACAAGAACAAGTGGTAGAAAAAGCCTTTGAGTATTTGAAAAGAAAAAACAAGGCAAATGGTGGAGAAAAGGGTTAAATATTTGGGAAATGCAGGGACTAAAGATTCCTGGTGGATTCACACAGAGAGGGTCTGGGCAATCTCAGAAGTAACGTTATCCAGGACCAAAAAGGAGCTGCGACAATTGTGAGATTTAATAGAGAATTACACAGCCTGGATTGAGGATTCTCTGTTCCAGCCAGAACATTGTAGGACTTTGTAACCCCAGACAGCCTCCATGCTGTGGTATGGACAGGAGAAAGAGAATAAAACTTGAGAAAATGAACAACCAAAAAAATTGATGCCTCAGCTGTGGCTCTTCCAGACTCAGAAAAGAAATTGGAATTGTAGGGGAATGTTCAACAGGGCCATGCCAAAGGAATTCTTGGGCCAAAATGTTTCACCCAGTGGCCACAGTGGCCTCATTGTCTGCAGAATTGTGCAGCCACAGCTTCAACGGGAACCGAGGCCCAAAACCTGATGACAACAGGATCTCCAACTGTTCCAGTCTGCCATCAAGTTCAAGCTTTGATAACCAAAAGAGCCTCGCAATGGATGAGCAGTGCTCGGTTATTACAGTGTGAAACTTGTTCAGTGGCACAGGAGGATTCAGAACTGAGGACAGGGGAAGGGTTTAACCCAGCCTCCTGTTTGAACAGCCCCCAGAGGGGCTGGGAAGAAACCCAGCACTGCATTCAAGTGACAGAGCTCCAGACCCAGCCTGGGGGAGATTCAGGAGACATTGCCTGGCCTGAGGCAGAAAATGTCTTTGTGGATGGCTCTTCAAGGGCAGCAGAAGGGAAAAGAGTTCCAAGACACGCTGTTATTGAGGAAAGGGAATCAGACAAAGCCCAGGTTACCCCCCATGGTCAGCTCAACCGGCACAGCTGTGTGTGCTTGTAAGAGCCTGGCACTGACATGCCCTGAGCAGGAAGGCTTCAATATCTTCTGGTGACACCATCTCACCTAACAGGGGGGCAAAAGCAATTCTGATTGCTCAGCAGCC